GACATTTGACCTTTGTAGAGAGGTTTAGCAAAAAAAACTCCACCTCTGAGGTGATTTGGGTGGAAATGGCCGTTTTTACCGTTTCTCTGGAACCCATTGGTTCCATTGGTTGTCGATTTTGGTGATTGACATCTCTTTTTGACTATTACAGCCAATAGAATCGAAGGGGAATTTCCACATACACACACACCTTACTACCATTGAGAAATGAGAGCTATGCGCACGCAGTTTTGCGCACGAGAGCGAACCTATCTCTCGCTCTGACATCTGGAAACGGAAAAGCAGGTTTATTGCTTATGGATTATCAGCAAATCATGTCAAAGGGACACAGACACATTGGAATAACCTATGGATTAACTTCAGCAGCTTTTTTATCGTTTTAATGCCATTGAAGACCACTTTTGACCAGACAAAGTAAGCTATTTAGCAGTTTTTAGCTACCTAGCGCCACATGTTTTGATGTCTGTTCTTGTTAATATCTTCGCGAGTTATCATGGAGTGATAATGTAGGTACCGATCGATTCTGTGTCATCTCACGATGCTAATCGTGGGGGGTTGGACGTGCAGCTACGATAAGTAATAAGGGTGTTATGAGTGAGTTTCTTTGCAGCATTAGCATTTTTCCGCTCGTGGCTAATTCAGAGGCAGAGCGTTAGCTTTGTGGGTTTAAAAAAAAAAAAAAAAAAGATCAGTTAGCTGAGTTTCTTCCCGTTACATGGATATAAAACATTCATAGTTTATTGAATATTAAGATGCCCTCAGATTCTGTTTCCTGCTGATCTAAAGAAAATACAATTTGCAGTTAAAGAAAGGGCAATTGTTATACTTACACTCTGAGTTATGGTTAAAGTATTTTTACTTTTCATATGTTTACCTCCAGTCATGCCGGCCATATAAGTTGGTGAATATCCGGTCTTCATCACTCAGAGGGCCAAATGTTGTCTTTTTTGGCTTCACCTGAGAAGGGGAAATAGATGTGATTGACAAGCTGTCATGATGGATGCATGAAAATTATAGCTGCCATCACTCAAGGGGGGCAACTACAATTATTTTAATTAGGCCTAGTTATCCATTCGTCAATAATGTTTTTAAGTAAAAAAAATATTTATTTTGTCTTTAAATGTCAGATAATTGTGAACACTTCTGTTATAATTTTCCACAAGCCAAGGTGAGTTTTTAAAATAATATATTTTGAAGGTCAACCCGTCTAATGGTATTCGGTTTATTATAAAAAATAAAAAAGGGAAGCATCAAATCTATTTCTCAGAGAAGCTTGAACCAACACTTTGTTGTTACTTAATTAGTTAAATTATATAACTATGTATATTCCATCCATCCATCTTCTCCCCCTTATCCGTGGTTGGGTCGCGGAGGTAGCAGTTCCAGCAGAGAGCCCCATGTATATGTATATTTTAGTTGTCAAAACATTCCTCTTAGTTCTTGTTGGGGCTCTACAGCACTAGATCAGATTCAACTTTATTGTCATTGCACAGAGTACAAGTACTAAAACAACTAAATGCAATTAAATATACCTCCCTTACACTGGTGACTAAAAACACCTATGCTTGTCATTGGTTTTCCTAACATAAAAAAACAATATGAACATATTTAAACCCTAAAACAACTAATCCAACATGGCTTCTTGAAGGATATCATTATGTTTATCTCTGTTGGATAATATTGTTTTTTTACTAAAAACTCCTTTCAACTATTCCATGCCAGTATGTGAACGTATGCATGTAGACCAGTGTGCCGAGTATATCAGTGTATTAACGTGTGAGTAAGCATTGTATGTATTACAGTGTGTGTATTGCAGTGTGCATTATTACAGTATGTATGCAGGCCTACCTGCTGCTGAGCTGCAGTGCTGTAGGTCAGGCGCGGAGTGATATTTCGCATCAGAGCGCCCCACAGCATCCGCCGAGGCAGCAGCATCCTGCAGGGGACAAACACCACACCTCAACTCAGACTGATATCACTCTCCACTTATTTTACACTCAAATTGATATGAAACCTCCGCGGTTAACAGAAGCTCGATGCTGGTTCAGCCTAATTAAACTAAGAGGATTAACGAACTACGTCACATCCTGTCCCATGCCTGTGCGGCAGGTGTCTATGGTGCCGATCTTTCACAGGTGCGTGCATGTGCACACTCAAACGTGCGATTAATTGTGAGTTTCGGAGTCACAAAGAGTCGCTATAATCAAGGGACGTAATGCATGATTTACAGTGTTGTAAAAATAGATAATTTCATGTAAAGTTTAAATGTATCAACGGTTCATAAGCAGCCATAGACTCAGCTATTTAACAACAGGCCATTTTAACATTGTAAGCAAAGCACTGGAGTTACTTCTAACTCTTTTGATGGCTCTGGTATATTGAAGTGTCCTGATAAGCAATCACAGTGAGCCAACATGCAGGAAACAGGAACCAAAACCACTAAAGCCGCTAACTCATAGTTAATTTTATCATTCACACCTGTGCCTGTCGTACTGTGACATGTAAAAATGTCTCATGAAGTTTTATTTATTTTCAATCATCTCAGTTTCCTGTTAAAGGCAAAGATAATTATAAGCCTTCTAATTTTAAGTCTTTAATTAGGATTAAGGAAGTGGTACTGGGCAGTCCAAAAAAGTAATGGGTATTTTAAGGTGGTCTATAAAAAAAAATGTAGACTATTCTAATTTTAAGGGAGACTGGCATTTAAAGTGAGGTATGCAAGTCATATTTTAAGAGGAAATCTGCTTCAAAGAGTCATAATACCTTGATAACCATAATAGCTTGACAATAAACTTACAATGTTAGCAAATCACATATTTTGGAGTACAGTGCGATATTGGCCAATGAGAAACAAGAAATGTCAGAACTCTCAAGTAAATTCAAGGCATTTAAAACGTTTGCATTACATTCTTTGCCCACCAGAGAGCACAAGTCAACTGTCACATTTTCAACTTGTCACAACTCTTAAATGACTAAAGTGAGACATTTAACTAAGCCCTTAAAGGGTTGTTTTTAAAACATCAATCAATAAGAGAAACACAGAAAAGATCAAGCTTAGATATGTTTATTTATTTTCTTAACATAAACTGAAACAAATGATGGGAAATGAATTAATATCTATGAGAAGGTTCCACTAAAGACTGAAAGACAAAAAGGTATCCCTGATAGCGGGGTCTCTATAAAGACCCCGTGTCCCTTCACCGAAGCCGAGAAAACAAACAGCTCACATAGAAACGCACACTTCACAGCTGGCATCAGTTAACCCTCTTTCATTCACATGAAGGGAGCACCAACACCCTTCACGAACAGGACCAACCGTCATACTGCCGTTCCAGTAGGACTGGTTCCAGTAAGGCCAGTAGTTAACTGACATTGCTATTATTTCCCGATTATTTTCTCACAATAGGTTAAATGAATTAGGTTTTCAACCATAAAATAATACAAAATGTCATTTTGAAACTACTGGCCTTACATTTACATGAAGCGTGTCAATCACCCTGCAGCACCAGACAATGTCTTCCCATTTTATATAATCACTTAGTGCATTGCTCAAGATTTCCTGAGTAGTTGCAGCACAAAACAAATTATATCTAAGGCAACTTTATCCCAATATATATTATATTGACTATAACTCTGTACTATTATGCAGGAGGAAGAATATTCAATGTATGCAGGTTTTAAAGAAAATTTCAATTACAATCTTAAATGGTATCGAGTGAGTTAATGGACAAGATATCGTAGGTCAGACAATCAGGCTTAAAGCTCTTAAATCTCATAGTGCAAATAAACTGGAAATAAAAAAATGATTTACTACACCACAAGGAGCAGATAGTGCACACAAGGCCAGAACAGCACAGGTTCTGACTACATGGAGAGAATTGGAAACAAAAAGACTTCCGTCGCTTAAAGCTATTAATGATTGCATTAAACCTTTCAAAAAGGCCTGAATGTACTGGTCCAGGGGAAGCATGAAGAAACTAAAAAGGGTTTTTTGGTCGAAGATAGTTTAACTCAAAGGATAATGGCCCCATTACACACAGCGGAGGCCGATCTGTAAGAACTGCCATGTCAACATGTGATACAGTACTATACATGTTACACAAACAACAAAATGTCAAAAAGCAAAGTTATTTTGTGTTCCAGTTACATGGAAGGTTTGAACCTCTGTTCCCTTCTCTCTCTCCCCCGGAGGATGGAATGTGTATTATTGCAGTACCTGACGGGGTTTAATGTGCAAAGAATGCATTCGAGGAAGATTTGCCAAAAGAAGACACGCAGCCCATAAAAAAGGCGTTAAATTATATGGAGATGTTGGTTCAAAATCTTAAGCGCAATGCATCTTCTTGTAAGACTTTGTGTTCTGGGTGCCACACTTGAATTTGGTCTCACTTAAAAGTGTCAGCAGAAGATCCATAATAAATAACAATAAATAAATAAGTACAGAAAAAGGGAATGCCATCTCAATCTTCTTTTTGCCCCAACAAGGAAACCAAATGAGTGCATTGGAAGACTGAAATCCACGGCCTCTGGAAAAAGAAGAATCGTCTTCAAAATAATCAAAAGGAACTCTTTGAACCAGACTTTGTCTCTTTTGGTCAGGCATTTAACACAGAGCTCTACGGCTCTGACACACTCAAACATGGAAGCAAATCTTTTCTCATGGCTTTCAAAAGAGTTGGGAAGAGTCTTCTCTTCAAACCCAACATTGGCTACAATTCACATGTCTCCTGTAAAGAAAACAGTTCAACTAAAAATCTTTGGTTCAAGCACCAAATCAAATCAAAGCATAGATTACCACAAACAAGAAAAGACAGACCGAAAATTATTGCTTACAATGTACCGAACCGTTTGATTAATTTGACTGCATTTCCACTGATTACCACCAGAGGACAGTGAGCATACAAACTCGTGATCTCTAGGTGACGTGACTTCTGAATTGCACCTGAATCAATACATTTATATTGTAACTAAAATAAACATCTTTAAATATCCCTTGATTTTAGTTTGCATAGTGAAAAGCATCCCAGTCACCGCACGCAGCAGAGGCATGTTCAGCTAGAAAAATAGAATCAAAGTGAAACACATAAAGAAGAAGACAAATGAAAATAAAAATGCCAAGAGCCAGAAGAGAAACAATTAAAAATAACTAAGAAAACCCGTTTTCCATTTTTTTTAATTTTAACATCATTTAGTTGTTATTATTTAAGTGCTCTCTATATCGGAGCAGCAGGTCATTAGTCCAATCACCTGAGTGAGATTTGTTTTACTGTGGATGCTTTACCACAAACACACACACACACACGCACACACACGCACACACACACACACACACACACACACACACACGCACACGCTTTCTTTTCCCTATTCTTCTTCTTCCGCTTCCTCTTCTCCAATTTCCTCTTCAACTTCGTCAGCCCATCGGTCGCGCTGTGCGGCGGGTGAGGGGGTTCCTCCTGGATCTTCTCCCTCCGCCTCTCTGCCCACTTGCAGCTCCAGACTCCTCAGGAAGAGCTCGGGGAAGCCGGCCAGCCTGTGGGGCCCGAGGTGAGCCAAAGCCTGAAGGGCGAGAGCCCGCTCCCTCCCGGCGTCACCTGCAAACATCAGCTGGGGGCCGGCCCCGGACCCACTCCCAGCATCCAGCAAACTGTGATGGGGGAATGCAGAGGAGTGGGCCTGTAGAGCCTCCAGAGGGTTGACCTGCTCCCTCCCGCCTGCTTCCCCTCCCTCATCCTCCCCAGGCTCTTCCCCTCGTCTGGGTCGGCGTGTGCGCAGCTCCAGGCAGCTGTGGCCCTTGCGGTGACGCTGGAGATGATCCTCTCGGGCGAAGGCCTTGTGGCAAAGCGGGCACTCGAAGGGTCTCGCCCCGCTGTGGAGGGACAGGTGGTTTTTGAGGTCGTATGAGTGGAGAAACCGGGCGGGGCAGTGCGGGCAGGGGTAAGGACGCTCACCTGTGTGTTTCCTCATGTGGATCTTCAACTTATCATTCCTAATAAAGGGAAACAAGGGGAGACAAAGAAGGGAGGGAAAGAGAGATAAACACATTAAAGATTCAACAAGGCCCTCATTCGTGAAAACATTTTTTTTTTTAAAAGAAAACTTCCATTACCGTGTGAAACGGACTCCACAGGCCGAGCACTGGAAGGGCTTCTCCCCGGTGTGTGTCCTCATGTGTCGGGGCAGTTTTCCTGCTCCATGGATGATCTTCTGACAGACGGGACACTGCTGAGGCGTTTGAGACTTCCTCTTCCTCCCTGCTCCCCCTGCCGTCGCCCCTGCTCCTTGATCAGCTATAGAGGTAGGTACTGAGGTGCTCTCCATCAGCTTACCATCATCGCCAAAACTCTCCATGTCCTCCTCCTCTGACAGCTTGTCACTCAAAGGCGGGACAGGAGGTTGGTTGGCTATATGGGGGCGCTCATGCAGCCAGGGAGGGGGTCCTCCATTTATTGCGGGCCCTCTGCCTGGCCTTCTGATGGCCCTTGGATCTCCATTCTGCCTGTGTTCGGGGCTAGGAGGCCCGGTCGACGGCAGGGAGCGGAAGCTGTCGGATGCAGGCGAAGGGTGTGAGACGGGAGAAGCAGGGGGTGGGTTCAGAAACGACGAGTTGATGTGATTCGACCCAATTCTTTTCATCTTCTTTCTGTCCGTTTTTCTTCGGGACCCTCTTTCCACTCCGATGCCCCCCACTGCAATCCTCTCTGTGGCTGTGTGTTGGGCTCTCGGCTCTTCCTCCGGCTCCCCCTCTGCCTTCTCCCCCAGGATGTCTCTGCAGGCATCAGCCACACACTGGATGCCCAGAAGCTGAGCCCCTCGCAGCACGTCTCTCATCCCAGAGCCGGGGATGGTCAGCGTGGCGGTGTAGGCGAACTCCAGCAGGGCGTCCAGGGCGTCGGGGGCCACGCAGTCCAGCTGACACACACTGAAACCACCTCCGCCCTCACCGCCTCCCTCCTCTCCCCCGAACAGCCGGCGGAAGTAGAGACTGACGGCGGCCATGACAGAGCGATGAGTTGGGTAGCGTGCCCCGCGGGACGTCAGGGTGAGGTCACACAGGAGTCCTGTCCTCCTCTGGTCATTGAGGTGGGACAGGAGCTCGTTGCTGTGCTCCGGGAAGGGGATCCCAATCAAGCCGTCCTCTCCTGGAGACATCGCCACCTGCGTGAGAGGAGGCGCAGATCAGGTTAGTGGAAGGACTGAGGACTTCGCAAATGGTAGTTTTGTACGTGTCACAGTGTGTTTGTAAAGTTTATAACATATTTTTATAATTTAATCTATCTTTATAACATTGAAAGAATACCCTTCGTCCTTTTTTATAGAGATTTCAAATAACCTAAAAGTAAATCCCCTGTAGCGTGACTTACACAAAGGGTTTCCTGCATGTGAGGGACTATTTAAACAGGGTTAAGCAACAACTCTCCCCCCTTATCCTCCCTTCCTACCTCGACTTTCTCTCCAGATTACTAAATCAAGAGGAGGAGATGTCACTTGCCCTATGGCAGAGGACAAATGCGATTGCGACGTCAGAGATATCAGAAAATACTAGGGATGTAACGATACCAAAAACTCACGGTACGATATTTATCGCGATATTGAAAAATAAAGGAAAAAAATTAGATTTTTTCTTTTTTCTTTATTAAATAATACATCTGATTTGTACAGTAGTTTAGTAGGATAGTAGTATTTTAAAGTGTCAATATAATAATCAGACCCTGCAATAGAATAAATCAAGTTTCACTCTAACTCACTAACTCACTCACTCAGCATCATCAAGGTTATCTTTTAGGAATATGAGCATGTCCACATTTCCAGGTAGAAGCTGGGATGTTTGGGCAGTTTATACAATAATCGCCCTGCTGTGGAAAAAACCTCTGCGGAGTTGCTTGGTACTGATGTTGCTGGGACCAGAGAGACCATGCTTGGCCATGGGTTGACAGCAGTGGGTCCAAAGTTTTGTGCATTGTCTCTCCAGCCCTTCAAAAACAATACAGTTTTTGCCCAAAGAAGGTGAGGGGCTTATTGACAAGGGAGAGATATAATATACTGTTGGTAGCTTGTAGAATGTCCTAGTATGTACATTACTCCCTGTAAACTACAATGTGCCTTTTGTGTTTCTGTTGTCTTTATGTTTCATGTTGTAACGCTAGCTTGTTGCCATGTTGCGTCCGGTCCTCCCTTGAAAAAGAGAATCGATGATGCTCCAATGGGACCAATCTGGTTAAAATAAAGGTTTTTAATAAAAAAATTATTTAGAAAAAAATCGCGGTATAATTTTGTCAGTCTCAAGACGGTATGAGACACTCATATTTATCGCGATACATCCGATATATCGTTACATCCCCTCAAGCGAAAATACAATAAACTAAACATAGAATAAAATAATTAGAGTAGCGAAAGACATGGCTGTATATAAAACCGAATGATTGATAACACCGATGCGGGCGGAATGTAGGATTTAATGCAACGTACGCATCTGCTGTAGGCTAGAGGACCCAGGCAGGCAATACCCGTGTGAACCCTTTATAGGCATTAGCAAGGTTTGATTTAAACCACGCTGAAGAACCAGAGGGACAAAGTGGAGGAGAGAGACCAAGAAGAGAAAGCTAGGCGAGGGACAGGGAGGAAGTGACAGCGCTTGAGTGGGTGAAAGGGGGGAGTAACGCCAGCGAAAGAATGAGGAAGGGAAAGAACAGAGAAGAATTAGCAACCGTTTATCAAG